TATAAAATAATATATAAATATATATAATAAATAATATAAAATAATAATATAATAATTCTGGAATTTGGCAAATATAATGTGTATACATTTAATATTTTAATAAATAATTATTATTTTTCAAGTTATATATATGTAGAGGGAGAAGTATATGTACTGATCAGTAAAAATTGATGATCGTATTTTTATAGGAAAATTCCATCCAAGGAAATGTCCCTTCGTGTTTTTTAACCCGGCATGTCCCTTTTCTGTTCACAGGTGTCCGAATGTTCCAAGTCGGAGGGTCCGTCGTTGTCGACCTCCCCCGGCTCCGATTTCCTGACCTCGCCGGCGCATCGGTCCGTGCCGTTGACCTCGCGTCATTTCTCAAGGACGTCTTCAAGGGCGTCTCAGAGTTCTCTGCAGAGTCCAAGCAAAAGCACGAGCACGTCACCGCCGAAGACTGGCAGTTCGAACTCCCTCAACAAGTTCCATAACCGATTGGTCGACAAGTTGAAGCGCTCGCTGAAGAAGGCGGAGGACTGCGCAGAAGATCAGCGAAATCTATCGTGAAACAGTCATGGGGTTTTGGGCCGGCCACCCGTACCCGGCTCGAAACCAATTGAGATCCGACGCACTTCGGCACCTGCTACCACATCCGAAGTGAGTAGAAACGTGGCGGCACGCTCGTGTCCGGATCCACCTTCAGCTTGGTAAAGAAGAAAGAACGTAAGAAAGGAGAGATAGAGAGAGAGAGAGAGAGAGAGAGAGAGAGAGAGAGAGAAAGATGATGATAGAGAGAGAGAGAGAGAGCGACAGCAGCAAAAAATACATGTATTAAAGAGGAAGAGATCGAGAGAGAGAGGAAGAATGCATGTATGAGAATGAGAAAATCAACGGGGGTAAAGAAAGGAAGAAGAAGAGCGAAGAAATCAACTTTCGCCCGTCGCATGTTTAGCTCGAGTATGTTTGAAAGCGAGCGCATACGAGTTTGTTAGCCCAGCACAAGCAAAAAGCAAGAAGAAGGAAGAGTACAACGATCCTCGAGTTGTTATTTTCAGCCCGCTGGATATCGATAGTCGATCGTGTCAAGGATCCTCGCGGGTCAAGAGATATCTCGATCGAGCGATCGAACGATAGGAGGAGCCTCGATGAACACTTGAGATGATGAAAAGAGATGTTGATTGCAACGCTTTCAAAATAACAGCCGTTTGCGCGACAACTTCGATACATAGGGAGTGAAGAATATCGGTAAACTAACAGAAGAATGCACGAAGATCTGATCTTACAATTTTCCTGGCTGAACCTGAGAGAATCTGATCAAGATAAAGGAGTGGAAATGGTAGACGAAGAAGAGGTAGAAACCCTGAAAGATTCGCAGTTTACAACAGATCGATGAATGAAGCATTCGATCGAATCTCTCGCAGCAGAGGTTTCGGAAGTGACTGATGATCATCAGCAATTGAAGGATAATCGTTGGAGCAGCGGCAGTGCGTAAGAAGTAAGGTATATAACAAACACATGTCTATCGAGATTATGTATCGAGATTGCGCGTCGCGAATATTTCATTAAATATTACAGGCTCGTGGTCAGTCGGTTACAAAATAGTCACTTGTGTTGTCAGACCTAATAGCTAAGTTCCTTCATTGCGCACGAGATCGTGCGCATAGCGTTCTATATGTTGTTCTTTTCTTAACATAAAACGAAACGAAATCGAAGAAAGGAAGAAAGACATTTAGCGGGCGCGAAGGAATTTTCGGTTTCCGTGAAAAGATTGCTCGGTCGATGTCATGCGACCATATCTATCCGTGCAGATAATATCTAAGAGATATTGTAAAGATATCCAAAAGATGCTTTAAACAAGTGTGTGAAAATCGTTCTTTTAAACATTCTTTTAAACGTTCTTATCTTTCAGATGTCTTTCAAATATCTTTTAGATATTTGTTGAGAACAACCGATGCGTTTTTGATTTCTTCGCCAAATTACTTCATGTTAATCGTGGAAGCAGATCGTAAATCTCTCCATTCTTAATACCCAATTAACTTTCTCGCAATCTAGACTGAAAAACGTTCTTTAATCAGTAAAGTCATGTAAAATCGTTTAAGAATAGAAGCTCGTATTTTCAGCGCGCTAAATATGGCTCTGTTCAATTGTGAGTACATTATTTATTTGCTTAATACTTAAAGGAGTTTTTCACGGCGTATAATGAGGGCAAAGTCGATGTCAAATGCGCGATGAGAATACGGGTCAAAATATAAAGAGAGAGAAAAAGTAGCTAGCGTAAAAAGAATCGCGAATATATTCTTGTTTTTATCGTGATATCAAACTGAGAACAATAGTAAGGCTCGCCTGTTGTTCGAATTGGGATCGAGTTTACGTGCCGGAAAGAGCAGTTTCTCGCCTTTGCGGGATATCGGGTCGCGCAGGAAAAAGAACCGTGTATGCGTGTGTTGCGAGATGGTTTAGAGAGGCGAATTAAACGTGCACACGTGTACTCTTCGAATCAGATCACGTATGAACGAAGCCTAAGAGAAGCGCTTATTTTCACATATATATCCCGTGTTATTCGTCGCAAGATTAGTTGTACTTACAATTATTCGCATAAGCATATTTGCCCTATACGGATTATTTTTCTCGCGTGCTCACTTTCTATATCAGAAAATCTCCGCCGGTAATCGCGCCAAGATAACACGAATTGCAACGCACAGCGTGTTTTGCGTAGAATAACTAATGCTTCAAATAGCATGCAACAATATATGAATTGATGATTTCTGTTCAATGAAAAAAAAAACCAACTTGATCTAATACAAATCTTAAAAATCACAAATCTGGAAATGTGTAAACTGAAAATAATTTGAAATGTCGAATGAAATTAAGCGATATTTTAATATAAACTTGTTCATAAATATTTTTTTATGAAGAGAGTAGCATTAATTTTTCGCGATTTTTTTTCACAAGAAAATAAGAAACGTATTTAAATCATTCGTTATTATTGACGCGTCGTCTCTAAACGATATTGCTAATTGCTCTACGCTTTGTGGCGTACGATAGCAGTGCTAATGTACGCGCCAGAGGTCTATGTAGGGAAGCATGACAGATACATCCGGTACCATTAAAGCATTCTGCGATGTACACACGCGTTGCTTTGTACACGAAAGGCGCGATATCATTCCGGAGATTTTCTTAGATCACGGCAGTGGAGGTGAACCGAATGTAGATTTTAAAATAAAACGCACAGCGTGTTTTGCGTAGAATAACTAATGCTTCAAATAGCATGCAACAATATATGAATTGATGATTTCTGTTCAATGAAAAAAAAAACCAACTTGATCTAATACAAATCTTAAAAATCACAAATCTGGAAATGTGTAAACTGAAAATAATTTGAAATGTCGAATGAAATTAAGCGATATTTTAATATAAACTTGTTCATAAATATTTTTTTATGAAGAGAGTAGCATTAATTTTTCGCGATTTTTTTTCACAAGAAAATAAGAAACGTATTTAAATCATTCGTTATTATTGACGCGTCGTCTCTAAACGATATTGCTAATTGCTCTACGCTTTGTGGCGTACGATAGCAGTGCTAATGTACGCGACAGAGGTCTATGTAGGGAAGCATGACAGATACATCCGGTACCATTAAAGCATTCTGCGATGTACACGCGTTGCTTTGTACACGAAAGGAGCGATATCGTTCCGGAGATTTTCTTAGATCACGGCAGTGGAGGTGAACCGAATGTAGATTTTAAAATAAATCGCATTTATCACACATCATCGAAGATGTAACAACGTTTCTCCCGAGGTATACCTCGTGCACGAGTTATTTGTATTTGTTGTTTCGCGTCGCCGCTCTACAAGCGCTTGTTAATTTTTTCATGTAATATATATACATATAGTGTATTATTTCGTTAAAAATATTGAGTCGATTGGGTAGAGAAAGATGCGGGAGGATTGCACATATGTGCAAAGGACATCGAGTGTTAAAAGAAAAGAACGCTACTTTTGTCATGAAAATTTTCTCTCTTCTATATTGATTAATTAAATAGATAAAATATTTCGGTTTAGATATATAATCCAAGTTTCTAATTTGTAGAAATAATTAGATTGTGCTTTCTAAATCGTACAACTCGTTATGATATGAAAAGGAGAGAAATATTTACTTAATTGAGATGTGCGTGTTAGCACATAATATTTTTTCTATTATACTGGAATAAAACCATTAAAATGGATTATATTAATAATAATTATTAATAATAATTATTTCCAGATAAATAAAAATTGAATTGTTAAACTTCCAAACAATCCAATATATAAATTTCAATTAAAGTGCGTAACGATTTTTTAAATAATTAGATGATAAAACCATGCTCATTCTTATAACACTCGACTCTTCGCGTCCGTTTACAGTTGTTCTGGTTTACGGCAAAAGATATGTTTAGCACGCTTTCTTTCTATCGGTTGCGTATGTCGGAGATTACGAACTGGGAGCAATTAAGTGATGCCGCATGTAATTCTGTGATACCGTATAAGCTATAAGGTAGAATTACTCTGCAACGATTAACGGATTAGAGGGGAGACGATTATGGTATTATAGTTAGGACGAGATTCGTACGAACGCTTCGATTCTTCGTCGATTGCAAACCCGCGTTATTTGAAAACCGAAATGACAAATTTCTTCTTGATTGGGCTGAATAACACGAGGGAGCTTCAGCATGAAAGAGAGCTCCAATAATTCTTTTTCTCTGAAAAGAGAATAACGCTGCTTTCGGAATTTTTCGAGAAAGATGAAATTCTGGCACACGAGCATTTGAAGTCGTTTACGTCCGTCTTAACGTGTACATAATTTTAAGAGTCTGAAAAAGATAACACTCCGAAAGCGTTTATCGATTATTTCGAGATAAAACAATACAACGAAAGCTATTTATTTTCGATTAAAATGGCGAACACTTTTTGGAAATGCAATTTACTCTCGGCGTGGAAACCGATCTAATCCGATTTAATATCTCTTACAAGAAGTAAAATATTTCTTCTTTCTCGAGTTTGTGCTATAATTCATGCAAAACTGAATCAACATACGTCGATTCGCGCTTTCGGATTCACATCAGATTTAAAAGAATGCTTAGTTGATAGATATCGCGCGGAAAATTTTGAAAATTCACGTAGCTCAATCTGCATTTCTCTCTTCGGGTGCAGATGGCAGGGGGACGAAGATAAGGAAAGGAGAAAGAGAGCGAGACAGAAAAACCGTAAGAAAGAGAGACAGGATTGTTTACGAACATCGGTTAGTGGGGGATAAAACAGATTCGAAATCATTTTGTATATTGAGATGCATACCGGATAATTTCCAAAAGTTGCCGCTTTATGTAAGACTGCTTTAGTGAAACAAGAAAAAAAACACAAACAAAAAGTATAAATATCAATATAAGATGACTTAGGACGCCGTGGTGCTGAACGGAGCATTGGGACACGCGATGTTCGATGGGCTCGTATTAAAAATTTAGCAGTATAATATATTGCAGATATATATCATATTATACACATATATGATAGTTTTTTACAAAAAATATATCTCTGTCAAAAGCTTTTATAATGTTATGCAAGTTTTCGCACAACAAGTTAAAAGTTACTATTTTTAGATTGAAAGTTTTTTGATATTTGGATTTATTGTCATAAATTTGATAATTAATTAATTTAAGTGTTTGTATATCTTTTAGATATACAGGCAATGGATATACAGATTTTTTATTCTCTCTTTTTCTCCATTCAGATATTTAGTATCTCTTTCGTGAGTTCACGCGTGGTACTGCCCTTAGCGCGAACTGGGCATCACGACCCAACTCGTGCGTGCGTCCCAAGGTTTCGCCGGTTGATTCGTACTGATTAGAAAAATGGTGTTATTAGAGTTTAGAGATTGATGAAATATAATACATCTATTTATTACGGCGGCCTCGGACCGCGGAGTAAACGTGGATTGGGATCTTTCTTCAATAAGATTATCGAATTTCACATTAAATGTCTATCGCATTGATCTTTATCTTTTTTCTAGGAATATAAATACGTAGGTAAAGAGAAATATAATTCAGTTTAACATCGCGCAATCTCTCGATCCACTTTCATTCTACGGTCGCAATGCGATTACAAAGCTGTTCACGCGTGCAGATATATATGTATACATATATGGTAAAAATATATATGTATGCATATATACGCGTAATATGTATATGTACATATTATTTATTACGCGACGACTTGACTATTTTTTGTATTACTACTAAAGTTTTATGGTTATATTTGTTATACCTCACTCGGGACATTTTGAGCGGATTTTTAGCGCGTGTTTGAGGAGAAGCGCCAAGACTTTTGCGAATTTATACAGCGGGAATTATTTTTCCGCATCTTTTCTTTTTTTTTTATGGCGACTAGTATGCGCGTCAATTTTTTCAGCATGAATATTAAAATTACCATAAACCGCATATGAAAGTTATAATCTACTCTTAATAATGCGCAATATATATGATTACGGAAGAAGACTATTAATTCAGTTTATCATTGTTAATGCGACAATAAAATTTAAATAATTTACAGATTTTTATTTTTTTCTAAAATATATCATTAAAAGATTAATCTAGGCTCAGTGAAAAAAATTTATCTTGCAAAAGTTGTACTTGTTGGACGAAGACCCGACATCGTCGTCGATTGCTCAAGTACTTTCTCCTCACTCACGACGATTGAATATCACTGCCAAAAGCCACCAAAAATAAAAAAAAAAAAAAAAAAAAAAAAAAAAAAAAAAAAAATGTAGCGTAGCGGCGTGGCTCGATCGGATCCTGCATTTTACGCGTTCGGTCGCGCCGTCTCATCTGTTCTGCCCTTTGTTCACATACATTTGTCTCTCCGGTTTATATGAACATATTTATTTCTCGACGGATAGCGACTTACGTTGTTAAAAGAATCGTATCGTACCGTTCGCTTTTTTTCTTGTGACTTTAGCGCCGATGACGATACCAATTCTCGCCAGTGATTAATTATAAACTCTTATAAAATTTATATTTTTTTTCGAGTTTCTCTGCGATATGTAGAAAAAAAGATTGTAGAATAAGGTGAACAGTACAAAGAGTGATCTTTTGAATATGAATTAACATTTAGGAAGCCATAGTTCTGGCATTTTTCTTCAAAGAGATAAAAATGTCAGAAAATATCTCCGTGTAATAAGCTTTTATAAATGCTCATAGAATACAGGATTTATAGCGACGGACTATACAATATATGCTTGACTTATATACTTTTATAAGTACATTTATGCATAAACCGATTATAAATCAAAACTCGATTACTACTTATTGATATAAAAATCCTATTTTATTGATTTTTTTATTAATATTATTAAAAAAAATGCTGTTTCATGAAAGTTTTTTATAGAATATTCCTATGTTTTTATATCTGCTATTATGTTGATGCCTACAATTAATCTTTTTATCATATGTGATAAACGATATAATTATGTATGCTATCTGCATTTTTAATGTGATGATTCACTTCTAGTAAAGGAAGTGTGGCATAATAAATAAATAAATTGAGATTCAGTCTCACTTTCGCAAAGACGAAGGCAAGTTATCGTATCGTCGTCGAGATCGCTAATTATCCGAGAAGTTCGTAATCGGAGAGAGATACGAGCGAAAGCGAAATGGTGGGCGCACATTCCATGTGTAACGATTATACATACGTGTATAAAGTAATCATCTGTTAGAGTTTGATAGGAAATTCATACAAACAAACACACCCATGCGT